AAGAAACCCGAAACGAAAAAAAAGGAAATAGTCACGAAGTGCTACACAGTATACTTTAGTTAATATTAAGTTGAGCTATAGCACTAGAATTTATTTTCATGAATGTAAGTAAACTGAAACTGAAAATGATTATAAAAATTATATCATGATATAATTTTATTCATGTTGTATTCATGAATACAACATTGGCAAAATTCACTGGCTAATGTTATTTCTGTGACAGATGATATTTTTTACAAGTTAAATATGCCAATTTTGTTGGATGCATGCCCAAATTCAAAAAGTGACCAAATTGAATAATTATGATTATGCTGCTGCAATAATAAGAACTTAAAAGTTTATATTTCAAATTTAGGACAACAAGGAAAATTATTTGATTACATAGTAATTATGAAAATAATTCAATAAAGCTTTAACTAAAAATTATTTTTTCATTTCTTCCCCTGTCATTTTTGACAGGTTACAACTAAAAATATATTACATAACAAGATAGAAGTTTACTCAGTAACAATTCAGCCAGTTAACATAATGATGTTATGTTAACTGGCTGAATATAATTGTAATGAAGCACAATGAATTGTATTGCAACAAGCAAAAACAAAAAATAATAAACAAGTAAAATGGCAAGAATGATTTTTGGGACAAGACTATGTCTCAGAGACTCAGGGCTCGACATGATCATTCAAACTTCACGAGGCATTTTTGGTGAAATTAACCTATCCAATGTTGAAATTTCTGTCCATTGCATGTCACCTCAGGTTGAATTTTTGTCAATGCCTAACAAAACTTTCCTGTTTTTGAAAAAAAATAATCGTGGCTATTATATCATCCAAAATTTTTTTATTTTGCACAAACAAAATATATTAATAAATGTAAACACAAAAAGAAAAATTATATTTTGAAAGTTACTTTTAATATAAAATTATAACAACTAGCACCATCTGGTTTCAAAAATGTTCCGGTGCTGAAACAAGATATCTTGGGTCAATCAGTCAAGGTCAGCAGGTTGTGAACAGAGAGATAAACGAGTTTTTCAAAGATTCATTTGTCAAAATTCGATTTTGCAATATCTGCATTTCCAACTTCCCAATGATATACACATGCACAAATCTCGCACTAGTGCCTGTTTGTAGAAAGAGTGTTGCCATTTTGTATTTTATTTTGACTTGGTTCTTGATCCCCTGACTACCTACAAGTCTGGTTTTTTTATGTGTGCATGATTTGGGCACCAAATAATATGCCAAATATCAACTCCTGACATGTCTCCCTTATACCTATAACATATGTACCCATAACAGCACCATGATTTTATAAACAAGATAGTGTCTTCTCAATAATATCTATAACAAAAACATTTCAATTAAAAACAGTTTTGCAATAAATTCACATATTGGCAACATAGCAATAAACAATATTATAAATAAACAGACATAACTGGTGATATAATCATTATCTTTTTCAATATATTAAAAATAGTCTATTGACAAAAACAATTTACAGCAGCATTTCTCAAAGTGGGCGATAACGCCCCCTTGTGGGCGCTGGAGGCTTTCAGGGGGACAGTAGAAGGCTCAAAGAGAATTGGGGGGCGTTAAGGAAATATAGAGGGGCGACGGCAGACAAATTCTATATATAAAAATTCGACGGAATATATATAAAATGTCAACATTTTATATATTTTTTATTGAAAGTCACAACTTGAATATTTCTGACACATTGACTTTTATTTTAGCACAGCATTTCTCAAAGTAAGCAATAACGCCCCCTTCTGGCGCGATGAATAGATCTATGATAGAGGCAGGGTATTGAACGGTGACCAAAGGCAAAATTGGGGCTGATAAGAGGAAACATTGCATTTAATGGTTTCCAGATGATGAGAACAATGTACAGTAAGGGCACAAAGTGTGAGATTCATAGAAAAGTTTTCCTAAGAATATTTAATCCTTTTCTCACACAAGAGAAAATGGGTTAGGGGGCGTTGGGTATAACTTTATGGAACAAAGGGGGCGGTGGATCGAAAAAGTTTGAGAATCACTGATTTACAGTGATGTAGAGTAATTTTGACAAAAGATAATATGGCACTTAATATGCAAAGATCATAATACAATCTGCTGAGATTAATACAAAACAGAACTATTAATTAAAGAAAAATAAATATGCTAGAGAAGGTAAATATTAATGTGGCTAGATAATATTAAAGATTTAATAGACTAAAAAGGAAGGTCAGGCTATCATGAGATGCATTCCAGAACATGAAAATAAATAAAAAGATGACTATTTTTATGGACTTTGTCTTAAACTTTAGTTTTAATTAATAAAAAGTTTACTCCTAAGAAGTAGAGTGATTAATTTGTTAAAACAGTAGCGACCAGGAAATTCGACTCTCGATAACTCAGCATTCTATAAAACTCATTGTCATTCATAAAAAAAAAAAAAAAAAAAAGTAATCTAATTTTTACCTCTATATAACTTAACACTAGGTGAACTAAGTTATTGTTCTTCACTGACGCCTGATGACACTTCATAATAGCATCAATTCCACATGTTAACAAAGCATATAACTCTTTCTGCCAAGGTGCCACTGCAAAATGCCACGAGGCAAATGTAACTAACTAAAAATTAGCCACTGAATAGCCATTATTTTTTTAAATTAAAATTTAACTAAAAATAGAAATTGTCATTATTGGTATATAGATAATACTTATATGTATTTGCACATATAATACCTTTACAAAACTTTCACTATTTGAACTAGCATCATCGCTATGCCATAAAACTTGTCATTTTTGGTAACTTTCACTTTCTCAATCTGCATTAAGTTGAGTTTGCAAGACTCTACTGTACCATAAGTCAGACTTAACAATGCCATCCCCATGCAGGCCCATGCACAGAGATTTAAAAAAGTGGTGTTTAAAAAAACACCATTATTTTTTATAACACACTTCATTAATTTTTACAACATAAGTATAGAGGAACACACTAAGAAGGAACTAAATGAATAAAAAATAAATATAAGTTATATAAAATTCTGTATTATTAACATAATAGCATTTTTCTGTTTGAAATGAAATTCATCCACAACCTTCTGACTAGAGATGTTAATATTTCTCTGGATGTTTAACAAACAAAATCTTATACAAAACTTAAAAGTCAATCCTTGAATGCATCAATAAAAATAAATTCTTAGTAGAAGTGATAATGTGGTAAACAAGAATCAGAGATTTCAGTGGAAACCTCATCTTCCAAGCACTGGACATTTGTGAAGGACATGAAGCATTTCTTAGTGTAAGGAAACTTACATTTACAGCAGGTACTTTTAAGATTAATCAATCATTCTTCTGGCATAGAATTTTTAAGATATGTGTTTAGTTGGTTTAGGCTGGAGAATGATCTTTTTGCTGTCACTATAGTAACAGGCAAAACATTAAACATAAATTTTTTTATACAAAATTGACATAAGTTTTTTATAAGATTTGACAGCTGACTTCATTAAAGTTTGTCTACTTAGTGAATCTAGATTCACTAAGTAGACAAACTTTAATGAAGCCAACTGTTAAGTTAATCTAAAAATGGTATAAACACTTTCATGGCAATATTCTTCTGGTAACTCAACTTCAAATGTTTATTTGCTGTTGCTGCTTCTTATTTAATCTTGGAACACTGAGAATGATGTGATCCTCCAAAAGAGATTTTGCTTTCTCAGATATATTGTGGAACACTTCACTGAATGTCTCAAGTACTTTTAGTTTCTTTATGGAAGTAGTACAGCTTTAGGCAGGTGGAGGTCTTTTTGCTGAAGAGATACATTCAGAGATGATAAGATAGCAGAAGGATTTGGCAAAAAATTTGAAATTGGCAATATTAAACAGTATTTATTAGGTGAAAAGTTTCAGCTGCAACTTTTGTCTTTGCAACTGAAAATCTTTTCTAAAGTTATTATCACATCAAAGCTTGCAATAAATTGACACAGATTGATGTTCAATCTATCTAGTTAGACAGTACTTTTTCAAATTTTTAGTGCTTTGCCTCAGAGTACAATTCAGTTATGGCTTCTAGCAGAATAGCGTATCATTTGGAAAAATTGCAAAAAGTTATACATGAATTCAATGGTTTTAAAGAAATTTCTGACAACTGAAATGTTGCCAACTAAACTTACAGCAAGATTAAGACTAAGAGAAGCATAATGAATGTAAAAAGCTAGTAGGTAGTCTGTTTGAATGTAAGATTGAGCTTCATGCATTTTTCACTCATAGTCACTGCTCCATTATATTCTTGGCCATACAGAAAATGTTTTATCAATTTCTCTTGAAAATATTTGATTGCAATTGAAATCAATTTTTACTCTTATGTAGTCCTCTTTTACAAGTACAAAGCTCTATAAAATCTTGAATCATACATTTGTCATATTCTTTTTCTATATAATGGAATTTTCCTCTAAATCAAAAATATCTGATGTTTTGTCAACTAGTAATGAGAAAGCTATAAATTTATTAATAATTTCTACCATCATTTTTCAAGTTTTTTTTTTTTGTGAAAGAAATGACTTCATTTTGAATTTTATTGTTTGTATGGCATTTTTTGATGAGGTTGCCAACTGATTTTTAATAGGCCATCTGTTGTAATTTGAAATTGGAGAAGAGCCCAGAACTCACTATCATTTATAGCAGATACTTCAGGTGTCATTTGACCACTTTCCTTTGTGTCTCTTGAGGTTAAAATGGAACCTTGCTGTCCATAAAATTTTACTACAATGTAATAATAAATCATAATAAAGTCAACAAAATTCACAGTTACATTAGAGTTACTGAACAACAACAATAATATTTTTTAAAACAAATTCTTATGAAAACTTAAATGCCATTTTAAAATATTTTAAATGATTTTCTTTTTTTAATAGACTCACTTATTGGCTCTACTAAATAAGTTTTATAAAAAGTCTTTAGTTTTCTTGGGGGTTAAAAAAAATTAAATACAAATTAACTAATAATAAGTATACATACCTGATTTAATAATGTGCGCACCATTGATAACAAAACTACAGCAGCCTCAGGACACAGTTCTCCTTTTATTGCAGTTGTTGCATTTGTTACTTGACCTGTAGGGCCTCCAAACAGATAAGACCAAATAGAATCTAATGATAACTAAATAAATAAATAAGAATTAAATTGAATTTTAATACTATATAAAAAGATAATAAAATAAAATCATTTAAACTAATAATAAATTTATTTAAATAATCTTTATTTTATAATTTAATAAATTGGGTAATATAATAAATAATAAATATAATTTAATAAATAGTTTTCCTAATAAGGAGTTACTTTATACAAATTATATAGAGTAATTATTTATTGTTATTTTTAAATGTACTGTAATATTATTTTCTAAGAAGATTTTATAAATATCATCACTTTGTTTTGATATTTGGAAGCTCCAATTTAATAATATACAAATCAACAGATTCAGTCAAAAAGCTTTTATTAACAGGTAAAATATTTGAGACAACAGACTCATCCTCAGAATTATACCAAACCTACTATTTGGTTCTAATGTTGGCAATGCTGCTTAATAGGGAAGCACCTTCTTTATCTCTCATTAAGCATATTCATTAAATCCACAGTTACTACAAAAATTAACATAAATATTCACAGAAAAGCATGCATAGAATTCCCATACATGTATAAAAATCAGTATTATTTTACAATTATAAAAAGAAATGCAAATTTATGCAAAACATGAAGTGCTATAAATACAACTGACTAGCAAGTAAAATATCATCATTGGTTTTGTTCTCTGACCATTAATTAAAGATAGTGTTTTAATGCTTTTGTAGGATGTAGTATTATGGAACTATTTTATGAAAGGCAAGATTATTGGTAGGTTAGAAGCAGGCCAGTTGAAGATAGAGGTATCAAGATGATTTGATGTGCTACAAAGCATCATGATATCCAAACTTTTTGACAAGGTATTACATTACAATTTGCAAGCAGTGGTATTAATCTTGGAACACTGTGAATGATGTGATCCTCCATAAGAGATTTTGCTTTCTCAGATATATTGCAGAACACTTCACTAAATGTCTCAAGTACTTTTAGTTTCTTTATGGAAGTAGTACAGCTTTAGGCAGGTGGAGATCTTTTTGCTGAAGAGATACATTCAGAGATGATAAGATAGCAGAAGGATTTGGCTCAACAAACATAACAGAATTTTACATTTTTTCAATAAATACCATTCAATAATGATATTTATTGAATGGAAGAAGATGGAAGAATATTTAGGGACACAAATATATCCACTGTATGCATTAACCAGCAAAATCACAGGACATGAATCCAATTGAACACATTTAGGATGGTCTAGGGAGGAAGGTTACATCCTATAAGCCCCTGCCAAGAATTCTTTGGGAGCTCCACTCAGTTCCTCAAAAAAGGACCATTTTGCTGGCAGCATCAATAATATCCTTGTAACCATACAACTGATTGCTGTGCAGCATATGTGCTTGCAACAGACAATTCTATAGAATATTAATCAATCAATAAAAAAAAATACCTGATTTTTTAGTAATGTAATATGCTGTATTATTAGGCTATAATAAGGTTAATTAATAATTAGTTATAAAGTAATTTTATTAGCGGTAGATGGTTAAGTCTCTAGGGAAAATGACTTTAAAACTAATTACATTAACATTCCAGAAAAGTAAACTAAACCAATAATTATTGATACATCCAAACAGATAAAACTGCAACTAAATTGGGCCAAAAAATATGAATACTGGAAGACTGATGACTGGAAGAAGGTAGTTTTCTCAGATGAAAGTTGAATTTGTTTGTGATATAATAAATTGGCACAAAAGTGTGGAGACAATCAGAAAAAAGTTTGATAAAGCATGTCTAGAGTCAAATGTGAAATTTCCACTCAGCATAATAATTTCTGGCTGTATGTCAGCAAGTGGAGTAGACAAAGTTTGCATTTTCAATGATACTGTAAACAATGATGTATATCAAGATATTTTCAATTACTTTTGGATTTCATCTATTGAGGAAATATTTGGAGACAGTGAATGTTTTTTCAAAATGAACAATGTTTTTTGCCACTGAAGCAAAACAATATCAGGACTGGCCACCAAATAGTCCTGATATGAATCCAATTGAAAATTTGTAGTATTTATAGAAGAAAAAATATCTAAAACAAAACCACACAAGGAAGAATTAAAATTGACTACAAACAGATGTTGGGAATGAAATTACACCAAATGAATGTCAATACCTTGTAGATCAAATGCCAAATTGAATTGCAGCTTTAATAAAAGCCATATGTGGTCTTACTAGATTTTAAACAGGTGTGGTCTAATATTTTTGTTGAGGAATTTTGTCAGTCTAAAATTTTTGTCTCACACATGCAAATGATTTAAGTTTTTTCTGATGTTAGAAAGCATTAAAATTCTATTGTGTGAACTTTTTTTCTGTTAAATAAATATTGAATTTTGAGAAAAAAATACAGGAAATTTGTAAAACATAACTGAGAATAGTTATATGCAATCAAAACTACAAAATCAATATTTTTGAAGGATGGTCCAATACTTTTGGCAGTGGGTAGTATATATAAACAGAAATACAAGAGAACAACACAAAAAATATGTTCTAGAAATTCTGAATGTTTTCTAAAAAGAATATTGTGATATTTGTTATCTTCATGCAAAAGAAAATGAGATATAAATAAAATATCATCATAAATTTAAATGTATAAATAAAAAATATTAAAATAGTTTTAAAGAAATGCTTTTTATTCCTCAAAAGTGAAATTGCAACACCATGAAGGAATGTGCATAGCAACATGCACATTGCAGAACCAGTAGAGGTTAGAGACATACAAATGATTAAAGAACAAAGATATGCAACAGACACCTGTTTATTCAGTAATGAATATGGCCACACAGGCAGCTATATTGCAAGGCATACTATCAATAGGACTATTAATGGTTGTCTGAAGTATTCCTTGTCAAGAGGCATCCACTGCAGTGGGCATGTTGTCTAAGGTATGTGATGATGGTCCCCAGTGCACTTCATGTCAGATGAGGTTCCACAGGACAGAGATCTGGTGAGGCTGCTGGCCAAGGAAGAATGTGAATTCTGTTCAGGCTGGTGAAAGTTTACCATGCAATGTACAGTTTGGCATTATCTTGCTGTCATTCCATGTCATCGCAAAACCACAGACTCCACAATTCATGTTACATACGTGTCCACTGTCAGAGTACCAGAAATGTACACCAGGGCTGATCAAACATGATGTCTGGTGTGGCGGCCAATGTGATGCTTGGCGAAAAGGGCTGGCAGGCAGCATTCCTTGGAATACTACCATACCAAAGCCATCATTCCTCCACATACAGAAGTGGGATTCATTCATAAACAATACCTTGTACCATTCAGTGGTCCATTTGCAATGACAATAACACCATGCTAGGCGTGCAGCCCTGTGTCAAGCATTTAATGACACCCCTGTTGCTGGATGCAGTGCATTCAGCCTGACTTCATGCAAGCTGTCGCAAATGGTTTGTGTGGACCTAGATGAACCTGTTGATGACAACAGGTGGCTTCAGATGATGTCACATGCCATGCCAAATGAGTCATGTCAGGCCATTTAGCAAATCTATTGGTCTATGCACTCTGTTATGAATCAGTATCAACCACTCCCTCTTCAGCGTGTTCACATATGTTCCTGCATCCATTGTGTCAACATCACTAGAAGGTACTCACATTGTGCCCAATTACACATGGAAACTGTGCACATTGACAAACTGAGGTCATGCAGTTCCAGGATACAGTCTTGTTCCACAGCCATTAATTGATGATATTCAGCTCACTGTCACTGTTGTCTCTGAGACATTTTCTACACTTCTAAAGTTTGGCTGCCATGAACTGTCACATTTAATGTCCAAGCTGGCTGCTGATCATTATAGGCTGAAACTAAGTACTACATAACCCAATGTGTACAAAAAATTTAATCATCTTCATATCTCTGTCACTTCTACCAGTTCTGCAATTTGCATGTGGCTATGCATATTCCTTCATGGTGTTGCAATTTCACTTTTAAGGACTGTAAATGCACAGAAAAGTAAAAAAATTTTCTTCAGCTTTCATAGTTTTCTTGATTTTATGCAACCAAAAAGAAAAGTGTTGGGCACTCATGTCAAATCAATAAAAATTTATAGAAAATGTAACTAAAAATATTTCTAAACATAAATGCCCCTCATTTTTATTTTTGGTTGCAGAGTACCAAAAATACTGAAGCAACAAGCTGAAGAAAATTTATTTTTTATTTTTTAGTGCATTTATGTGAAAAAATATTTCTTTAGAACTTTCTTAACAGTTTTTATTTTTATATATGTAACAATAAAATATTGAAATTCTTATTGTTTTATCATTTAATTGTAAAATTGGGGAAAAATTGTCACAAGATATTTTTATAACCACTGAAAATAGGTTGTTTTTGGATGAATAAACCAAAATGTTATGTCCTTCAAATCTGATGCTCACCTACGTCCAAGAATTACTCAAAAACAATTAATTCTCAGATATTTCATTTAAATGCATTTTGGATTGGGATTCTTGCCAATCCTTCTGCAGTAAAGGTAAACTCTGCAACAGAGCATACACCACAGTAACCATTACTGTGACTGATTTTGAATAGTCCAAAATATCAGTGTAGGCTCTGTCGCAGAGTTTACTTTTACTGCAGAAGGATTGGCAAGCATCCCAATCCAAAATGCATTTAAATGAAATATCTGAGAATTAATTGTCTTCTGAGTAATTCTTGAAGTCAGGTGAATGTCGGATTTGAAAGACATAACAATTCAGTTTATTTGTCCAAATAAAGAAAGCGGTTATAAAAGTGACTTATTATAATTGGCAAATATTGCTAACTTTAGCTTCGTATTGAGTTACAAGGTTTTTTTTTTTGTACACAGTACAACTAAAAAGGATAAGGTCTGTGTATGCAATCTATTATCAGATATTTACAAATTTTAAGTTTTTGCTAATTGCTAAAATTGTTTGAAAACTAAAAAAATGCATTGTCATCAGAAATACATATGTATGCAAAGTTTCAACTATATTGGATATGGGAAGTGTGTAATAATTGAATTACTTTATCTGGATAGACAGACAAACAGCGTAAGTTAATAAGAAGCATATAATGAAATATTTCAAAAGTAAAAGTAATAGAAGTGTTTTTAGATCAATGTAAAATGATGTATAAATGTAAAATTTATAAGCAGTATTCCATTCTTCTTATATTAGAATGTTAACATTTAAAATTGCATAAATTATTTCGAATTCAAAGTTTAATATTCTAAAACGAGTTTACAAAAAACATTTGAATAATTTTTATAACTGAAATAACAAAGATATTTTGATAATTGAATACATGAGTGGATGAAAGTTTTGAGTGAATTGACATTCAAATTTTCCAGTGTAAATATATCCTTGAAACAGGATATTGCAGAGAGTACAATATTATGGTGTCATTTAATTCCAAGATATTTAATGATGGTATGTGAAAAACAGATACATTACACCTTCCTTCATGCAGGACAAGAGATTTGAATGACTGTAACATAACACCTTCATTCACTCATGTCTTCAATAACAAAACATTAAATATAAGCTTAAAAATAAGTTTTAAATAAATCAATGATATAAAATTTATATTATATTACTATGATATTACTAATTTATATTACTATGATATTTTATATCATATTACTATGATATAAAATATTATAAGAACTGTTAACTGTTAAATATTATAAATATTGTAAGAACATTAACTAGTTTCAGTTTGAATCTTCTAGTTTATATGTTAAACCTGATGCAGGCCAATGAAACAGAATTAAACTCTTTTTTTATCCTATAGTTTATTTTCCATAAACTATTTCTTACTCTTCAAAGCACACAGATGTCAACAACATAATTTTTTATACAGATGACAAAAAATGCAATGCATTAAAAATAAAATAAAATTAGTAGTAATAAATTTAAGTAAATTAAAACACATTTCTAACAACCTAATTAATAAACACAAATACAATGAAGTGTCAAAAACCCAAATTCAGCTGTCAAAAAATGGATAATAATTTACACATATATTTGAAAATCTAGATGGGGGTCTGGCCCTAATTAGTCTGAATTTTTTATACTTCTTTGTATATAAAGCTTTACAGTGATTATTTTGAACAATATTAAAAGTTTTTCATTCTAATATAGGATTTCACATAGATTTAGAATTTAATTTTCAAATTTTATAAGAAAACTTACTCCTAATAAAACAGTATCAACACTTAAACTAAATACAACAACATAATTTTAGTTTTGATTTATAATAGGAGTTTAAAATCAAAATATTCTAAAAAATTTTTCATTAATTTATTTTTAGAAATCTGAAGAATTCTTCTAAAGCAGGGGTGTCCAACCCATGGCCCGTGGGCCACATGCAGCCCAAGACAAGTTCCAATGCGGCCCAATAAACGTGTAAACTGTGGCCAACCTGGCAACACTTACCGTGCCCTTAGTCTTCAGTCTTTGTCTCCCGGACAGTCTGTCTGACCACGTGTACGACACTTCCGGCACTCTGTACAGTATTTGAGCGCTTAATAAATTTGTTTTATTAATTGAAATCTGCAATTATTTGATCAAGACCCCAAAGTGGTGACCCGAACGTGATCACAAGAACTTATTTACCCAATTTTGTAAGTATTTATATTATATATTTCCGTCATAAGCAAGAGCGAAGACTCCGTCGAGGTAGCACGTGTATCGGTGAAAATTCCACCCTTTTGGAGAAAGAACGTTAGAGTATGGTTCACACAGGTGGAATCACAATTCGCTGTCTCTAATATCACGACAGAAGTTACGAAATACCATCATGTACTAGGATCGCTTGACTGTGAAATAGCCGAATTGGTCGCCGATCTAATATCCCAACCGTTGACGAGCANCTCCCGGACAGTCTGTCTGACCACGTGTACGACACTGCCGGCACTCTGTACAGTATTCGAGCGCTTAATAAATTTGTTTTATTAATTGAAATCTGCAATTATTTGATCAAGACCCCAAAGCCCCAAAAACAAAACAGAAAAATGTTTAAATTCTTTTGTTATTTATTTATTTCAACGGCATAAACTCAAAATTTTCACAAAGCCGTAAACCTTTATTCATATTTTATTTTTGAGTGGAAAGGAAATATTTTCAAATACTTGGAAATGTGTGAATGAAGAAGGATTATTAAATAAAGATGGAGTTGTGACTTAAAGGATTATAGACCCAAATTTGGGAAAGGAGGGAAAGGACAAAAGATAAAAAGTAGTGAGAAAGGTTAGATCTTCTGTTATGCAAATATTGACCCTTAATTTTCCAACCTTTCTCACTTCTTTATCTTTTGTCCTTTCTCTCCTTTCCCTGCATTTGGGTTTATAATCCTTTGAGTCACAACTCCAGCTTTATTTAGTATTCCTTCCAGCGTTGCAAGATTTGGCTACATTGCGCCAAATGTGGCTACTTTTTTTAGTTTGAGGTAAAAAATATAATTTGGCGCATTGGCTACTTTTTGGGCTACATATTATTTGTAAATANCCTTTGAGTCACAACTCCAGCTTTATTTAGTATTCCTTCCAGCGTTGCAAGATTTGGCTACATTGCGCCAAATGTGGCTACTTTTTTTAGTTTGAGGTAAAAAATATAATTTGGCGCATTGGCTACTTTTTGGGCTACATATTATTTGTAAATATATTAGTTGAATAAAAATGCACTTTAAAATAGTGTTTCATCGCTTTTTATTAATTAAAGACCAAATTAAACAAATATTTGTGTTTTTCAAATAAATTTTCGTTTGTCTCTTTTATAATAAATGGATTTATCTATTTCTAAGTAAAAATTGAAAGTGTCTGTAGAAGTAATTTTTTAAAATATACTTTTTCGTGATGAAGTTCTAATACTTATTATTATAATCTAGACATATTAATCCTTAAATATACTTGTATATTGGACCACAAGTATATATTATATATAGTTGTGGCCCAAAACTCCCAGACTTCTTTCAATGCAGCCCAGAGAAACAAAAAGATTGGACACCCCTGTTCTAAAGGTTGCATTTGTTGCAATAAAAATTTATATATCTCAGTTAGATTGCATTTTATTTAATACTACTGTTGCTAACAAATCTTCTTTTTGTAATATTCCTTAGAAATCTTAAAACAAAAACTGTGAAATTTGTGAAGTTTGCAAAATTTATTTAATATTTGTAAGCTGGCAAAGCTAATTAATCTAAGTGCCAAGAAATATTGTTTTTGAAAAAAACTGTTTGTCCATGGCAAATAGAGCAAATGTTTATTTCCACAAGTATGTAGCTCTTCAAAAACATGTAAGGCAACTGTTCAAGTAAGAGTTTTTGTTTAAATACAGTAGAAAACAATCAGAAATAAGACAAAGTTGAAAATGATTAAGTCCACATAGTACAAAATGTGAAAAGATTACAGTCCACAGTCATTATTCACTTAAAATGGCATTGAAAAACTCTTTTCTCTTCATCTATAAATTCCAGCACAGCACAAATATCTTTCTTCTTCTTGTCACTCACTTCACAGATTCCAAATGAAAAAAGTTCAATAATAGCCAAACAGCTGCATTAAGCAACTTTTAACAATTGAAAACTGTAGCAGGCTACAATTGTGGTGAAAAATGTAATAATTTTTTCAACAAACATCTTCAAGATATGATTACACTTAATTTATAATAAAAACAAAAAAAAATTTTTAAATATCTTACAAGTGCAATTCTGGTTAGGCAAACAATCATTTAGCTTTTCCACTACATTTCATCTAAATGTATTATGTAATATTGAAAACAGAAATTCAATAATTTGTCTTTCTAAATTTGAATGTTGAAAAAGTAAACAAAGCAATTTTAATAAAATTATTTCTAATTTACATGATTATAACAACAAAAACTACTTTTTTTTAAATTTACACTTTATTTACTTATCCTATGGTTTACTATAATATCATTTATAAATGTTTTTGCATAAATACCTTAGGATTATTAGGTATCCTGGGAGGTGGAATTCCCAATAATATGGACAGCAGTAAAAAATAGACTTCAATAATGTGAACATGATGTACAATCAAAAACTGTAAATGCTGAAAACCTGGTACCTGGCATGCTTCTGAATGTATTTCTCTGTTATTAATTATATTTTTATTATTAGCAGAACTCATATTGAAACCTAAAAAGAAATTAAAATTGTTATTAAGATATTTGTAATTGTTGGAATTCAATTTAAATATAATATTAAAAAATAAATAAATAAAATATGATTGATTTATATGTAAAAATAAATATCAATAAGAGTCTTTTGGAAGAAAAATAATAGTTTTTATTTATAGTTTAAACATTTTTGGAAGCTCTAATTTATTTCTTTATGTATTATCTGAATTGTATTACATAAACTATACTATTTAATTAAAAGTGCATAAAATGTTACAATCTTAAACAATGTTAGATTTAAAAATCCATTTATAGATAATTTTTCTTAAATAATTGCTATAATACTACAACTATAAACTAAGTTCTTTAAAGTTATACATACCTAAAACTACTCCCACACGATTCTGAGTTACTGCTTCAGTTTCTGTTAACCAACCTCCATTAGATGTTGCTTCACGAAATTTCTGCAATAATGACTGATGGCTGAGCAATAATGAAAGTATTTGGAAAGATAATATTGTGGTACTTGGATGAAGATGACCTTGTAGAAATAATAGTAACCAATCAAATCCTAATACTTTTACAATTTCTTCTGCAAACCTAAAAATTAAAAAAGAAAATAATATTTAAAAATTAATATAAAAAATTGAAATTATTATTAAGATTTTAAAATTTCATTTCATAATTCATATGCATATATATGAAAATATACTGATAAAATTAAGTATAGATACATTGTCAGAGAACAAATTTACTAAATTATATAAATATTAAAAATTTCTGTTTTGAATATTGCAATATCTTCTTAATTTAATAAGTTTAACAGTCATTATAGAAAAGAAGATTTTCAAATAAAATATTTTCAAGAAAAACTTGATACAGTGGATTTAATACTTATGTGAGTAATGAAAATTATCAATACACAGGATATATTATTATAAAATATTTTTGCTTTGATAGAAATTATTAAAGAAAACCAATATTATGTAAAGTAAGATCTTAGCTGTAAATGGTTAGTTTCTTCAAAATAACCATGTAATTATTGTGAACCAATACAATATTCACTAGAATTTTTATGCAACAAGATAATCAAATATTAAACAAACTTCTATGCCAATACTGGCATAGAAATATGTTTTATACAACAATGCCTTCATTATTCTAAAAGTAAAAATGTATTCATTTAAATTCAAGCATTAGATTGCTATACTTATATTTTTATTATATATTTATATTTTAAATTATTTGCAAATTTATTTTCTCATTGCATTTGCTGAATTTTACTAATTTCAATTATTTTAAATAAATAAATTATCTGAAAAATTCATTTCTGTAATGACATTTTTATAACATGTAATAAAACACTGATATTTATTAACTGTAGTGATTATGTTCTTGAATTGTATAAGTTTTATAAATTACTTACAACTGATTTATACTTTCATCTTCATTAACAAGAAGTGAACGCAACAGTGTTAAACAGCAATTCCTAAGCCAAATTTTATGAACATTTACCATATTATCTTCAGAATTATCTAAGAAAAAACAAAACAATTTTTTTTACATTAGTAACTATCCACAGTGATTTTTAAAAAACAAAATTTGAATTTGACAAGAAATGAAATTTTTTTTTTAAATTTTACTTTTATTTAAATATTCTCATAATGAAATAACTTGTGAATTTTACCTGTACTTTCTTCTAAACACTGTACTATAGCAGACTCATTTAATACAATATGCTTCTCACTTGCAGCTAGAGTAGGAAGTGTAGCTGCAGTAAACTGTCCAAAACTGAAAAACATAAAACAAAATAAATGTATTTCATAGTCAAACTAAAAGTTTTGTTTCATAAATTAATAAACAAAAAATATGTCTACATATTTTAGCTATTTAATACTAAATTGCTGATACAATTAACTATTTTTATGTATGTATCAATAGAGTGATTCAAATTATTGTGTATATATATTTAACCTTTGATTTACACAGTATACATATTTCATTATTTCAATTCAACAAGATCAGACAAATGTGGCAAAATTTTGTTTTACATGACAACTTCAGTCTAACATGGTATTTAAAAAATTCTAGTATTTTATTTTAAAATTAAATATTTTCTTTGATAAAATTTACGTTTAGGCCTAGGATAACTATTATAACATTGAAATTATGTCATCTCTATTTTCAACCTATAATGTTCTGAAATGAGATTTTCCATTTTCATATCATATACAATATGACTTCATATCATATACATTAAACTTAGCTCAATATCAGAAAATTTACATGAGATTAAATAGAAATAAAAAACAAGCTTTAATAATAGATTTTATTAAGATAAGAGCATCAGTCTTTGGTAAGTTAATTAAAAAAAACCTAGTATATATAGAAGTTACTAATGAAAGTGGCATAAAAGTTTCAACTTCAATTTGGTTTTAGTCACCAAAATTTAGTTTTACTACTAAAACCAAATTTAAAACTACTGAAAACAGTTTTAGTTTAGTTTTTGAAACAATATAAGATTTCAACTTTAGTACAGTTGTTATAAATTCTTACTCTTTCTCAAAGTGATTGTAATAGGAGTTAAATGAATTTATTACAGTTTCTATACTTGCATCAAAGGGATAAAATCCAAGTGAAGCCTTTTGGTTTTTTAAAAACAATAAAGCACTATGGAACCTAAATAATTGCATGCTTGTGGCATACCAAAAGGAAAAATCTGGATCTATTTTAATTATAAGTTAAAATATATTATGGCTTTAAAAAAGCCAAGAAAGGGGGAGAGAAATATTGTGAAGAGAACTGATGCCAAACAATTTACAAATAATTTGGAATGACAATTTAGAACCAAGAATGCAAAGAATATAACAAGAAAGAAAAGCATCTACTTTCATTCTTTTCCATCTCCAAATGAAGCCAGAAAGTGTAAACAACCTACAGTCTCACAACATTTGATGTGCTGCCAATTGAAGGATTTTCTGATTTTTAACCATATCCTCTGAATCATCAACAGAAAACTGCATGTTTACAATATTCATAAACACTTCTAATTCTCCAAATACAACACTAGAAAATCCATAATTTAAATCAATATACAAAATGATTAATGGTGGCAAACTTCTCCAATGTTTGTAGACTGACATAACAAGAAGTGTCTGGAAATGCACTGTTGAGGTGCTTGACAGGTAACTGCTTATTGCACAGCTAGGTCTGTGCAATAAGCATTATCCATATGCATATGCAACATTAGTGTGTAATGAGTCTGACCTATGCAGTGTTGAAGTCTTTATTAATGGGCAGGATCATATAGTTCTCATCAGTTCGACAAGATCTGTATCTTGCCTACATTGTGAGACATCTGTCCTCCAACAACCAAAAATCAAAGCAAATGTGGATGGCTCACAAGAGTGTCTGGTGGACCCTGTACAATGTCAAATTTCATCCCTCCATTTGCCAAAGGTATAAGACTGAAGAGTTTACAATCATATACTGTATATCACCCAAGCAAAATAAAACCTGTCTAGCATCTCAAAAGTGCATTCCAGGACATCTGTTTATGATACCTGTATTTATTGTATCATTCTACAAACATTGGTGAAGTTTGGCAACATTGTCATGATTCACCCTTATACATTTATATTTATTTAATTATTATTTTTATTCTAATAATTTATTTATCAGAATTCCATACAATTGAATCTAAAACTAAAACTGGAGTGGATCTGGTGATGAAGATAAAACTAATATTAAAACTAGAGCACATGTGTAAACTGAAACTAAAACAAATCATTTAGCTATTTTGACATTCTTACAATGCCAGGCTACAATTTTTAATAATATTTTAATTTAAAAAAAATCACATGAATTCTGGTCTAGACTGGAAATTTGTATATAATTAATAACAGCCTCTGGTTCCTAAGCTTTCCATATCTGGTATGAAATGTGGACTAAAGCAACATTACTTTTAACTAATAAAATAAGAAGAAAATTGTTTCTTTATTAACAAGCAAAGAAGAAATATAATAAAAGAAAAGAAAATTTCAGACTGTAAAGATTAATAAATAAAAAATCCTTAGAACCTAATCCTCTAATTACTATAAAGTGAGACATCAGTTAATGAACATAATCTATTCCAATATTTTGTTTGTTATCTGAATTGTTCATTAACCGATTATCAATTTACCATAGGTTTTTATGAGAATTTAATTAATTTGTTCTGGAGACTCCAAAAAATATAAAAATATATACTTTCTTACTATGTTTATTTATATGTAATAATAAAAATACATACATATACAGTCTTGCATTCAATTGGCAATGTGCTACACCGGGTTAAAGTAAACAAAAAACAACGTACCAGGAACCTGTTGCCGGTGTGCTTCTCGGTAAAAAAGCGTTACAAACGTTTTCGAACTTGTAAGTTCTTCTTCAGGTAACAGACTTCTAAGCGAATGCCATTCAAATTCAATTCACTAAAGACATCATTAAGAATTCTATCGCACGTATTGATGGCATCATTGACGCATGCACCTCTTTGCTGGTTGTAAATTCTTGTCTACGAGCACCTGCATGGCAGGTGCTCGTAGACAAGGTTTTTTACCAAGAAGCACACCGGCAACAGGTTCCTGGTACGTTGTTTTTTGTTTAGTCTTGCATTTTTATTAGTCATGTTTTTTCCGTTTATAGGGGTTAAAGAATCTGTCCAATGTTGATTGCTTTTCTCTCTTGTTCAGGATTTTTCGGAAGTAATTAATAGCATTTTCGTCGTAGAGATCCCCAAGCCTATTAACCTCAACTTGGTTTGGAAGCCATTCTAAGACTGTTGTTCTGACATCTTCCCACTTCTTCAAAAGATATTTAATAGCAGATGTTGGCATTGATCCTTTTTCATCTTCCTCTTTTTCAGAAGAAAACACATCTCGCTGAATTTCTTGGTGTTCTTCATTTAAGCATTCTTGGAGTTCTTCTGTCATCAAATCAGTTTCAGATTTCATTATGAGCTCTTCAATGTCATCTTTATTCACTACCAATTCCAGATATCTAGCAGTTGTCATAATTTCATCCATAATTTCAGACATTATCTCTCTCTCTCTCTCCCCCTGAATGCAGGAGGGATACAGCTTTCGCCAAGCAGAATTCAACTGTCATTCAAAAGGTATGGTCAGAAGTAACTTTTGACCATACCTTTTGAATGAGCAATATAGCTTCAAATCAAATTTTTCTTTCCAAAACGTTTTTAATGTCATCATTGAGGAGAACTGGCATTCTTCAAAACACCGACAAAACAGTGCTCGAATGTACAATTTCTTAAAACCTGCAATAACCTCTTGATCCATTGGTTGAATCAACAAAGTGGTATTCGGAGGTAGAAACTGAACTGTCAGCCAGGGAAAGTCTTCCAGTAAATTATCTTCAAGGTCTTTTTGGGTGTCCTGGTGCATTGTCCAATAGCAACAATGCTTTTAATGGCAATTCATTGGTCTGAAGGTAATCTTTGATGCTTGGAGCACAAACTTCAAACAGCCATTCTATGAAAAGAGTCTGCATGACCCACGCCCTTTTATTCAATCTCCACATCACTGGCAGTTTTTCTTTAATTATGGAATTTTTTTTAATGCTCTAGGTTCCTCAGAGTGATAGACAAGAAACAGGATAAGATTCACATCACTGCTATCATTAGCTCTCAAAAGTAACGTCAATCGGTCTTTCATGGGTTTATGCCCAGGAATATTTTTCTCTTCTTTCATAATGTAGGTACAGTTTGGCATGACTTCCAAAATAAACCAGTTTCATCACAATTGAAAATTTGTTGTGGACAATATCCTTCTTTTTTAATGAATTCTTCAAATTTGAGACAGAACTTCTCAGCTTCTTCTTTATCTGCACTAGCAGACTCAACGTGAATTACCACATGTTTAATGCCAGTTCTCCTTCTAAACTTTGAAAACCATCTAGTAGTAGCTTTGAATTATATCTTCTCATATCATGAATTTGGAGTTTGTTTCTTCAGTTCTTCAAAAATTTCTCTTGCTTTCTCTTGAATAATTGTCATACTAGTTACATCTTTTTTCATTTCCCTTTCTTTTATCCAAATTAAAAGCAATCTCTCCATTTTTTCATGGATGGAACATCTTTGTTTCTCAGATGTGATTTTCGTTACTCCTTTAGCTCTTTGAATCTTCTTGATTACATCTTTCTTAGCTAAGATTGTGCCTACTGTAGACCTGTTCAAGCCATACTGCCTAGCAACATCAGACATGTCCACTCTCTACTTTGGCTATTATCTCTTGCTTGGTTTCTATGGTGAACACAGTTTAAGTTTATGACATTCCACTCTTTTTATGCTCCATAATATTATTCAATTTCTGTTTGAAATAAAAAGTTCAGAAAGGCACTTACAAAAATTCAGAGAACAGAAATCAACTAGCACATAAAAGAATTATGTAAATGTGAGGCCCAAATGTGATTTGAAATTTGGGTGTTAAAATGTTAACGAATTCCCGGTAGGACAGTTAAACTCTCACCTTTAGAAAATAAAAACCAACACAAAACTTACGGAGTTTTGCAAATTTTTTATAGTCTTTGCGAGACTGTTGGTCTCGCAAAGACTATAAAAAAATTATTTGTAAGAAAAGTAAACAAAAAGCTGGAATTACAACGGAGAGTTTCAAAGTTGAGCATTGATGTTGACATCTCCCACACTCTGAAAGCTTTCGAATTTTTACCTGAAGACAAGGGAAAATCAATTGGTATTCGTTATTTTCTGTCACTTCTTTTTTATGTTTGTTCAGTGACATGTTCGTTATCCAAACATGTGTTTGTTGTCCGATCATAAAAATCTTTCACAAAAGTGTTCATATCCAATTTGTTCATTAACTGATCACCCACTGTATAAATATTGTCTCAACTTTACTTTATATACAGGTAGCCCTCGGTTTACGCTGATTCACAATAACGCCGCTGCGCAATTCGCTGTTTTGAGGTGTAATTCCCCGATTTTCCCTATACTAGACTGATTTTCATTTCAGTGTTGACGTATTTACCAAGCCGTGACATTGTACATTTGTTAAAACAAAGATTTTTATTAAATATATTTATTTTTTCTGTTTAGTATTATTGGGTATGTATACATTTGCATTAAATTAATATTAAAATACTAAACGTTTAGGTACCCACGAGTCAAAATATTAAACTTAATAGTCCAATAAATGGCGTCCGAATCCATAGCGCCAATGAATGTATCCCTTATCAGTTCATTTAGGAAAACACCTTACGACGCAATAGCACTTCCGGCGATCACAAATTATCATTAGTGAGACAAATCTACTTCTCGGTGGCCAGAAGATATTTATCTCTCCTTAGCCATCTTGAATTTTTCCGCTCAAACTGACCTTATATATGTGCTACGGCGACCGGTGGTTGACCAATCAGTGTCTTCGCTCGTCCGTAGCTCTACGTCGGGTTAACGTATCCTTTCAACTAAGGAAAGTTTGACGGATGAAGTTTGTGAGTTAGACAATGTTGGGAGCGAAGTGCAAATGTAAAAAGGAGCATCATATTCGACCATATTCCGAAATTCTTAATGAAAGAAATCAAAAATGTAAATAATTAAAGAGGGATACTTTTTTCCGAAAAATGTAAGAAATTCGAAACCAAAAATTTTAAATAAAAACATTTTACTTTATTTTATGATAAAATACATTTTAAAAATTAAAAATTTATATGTATTTTGTGTTATATTGTATTAATGAACAAAATTATTAGTTTATTTTTCCCTCATGTAGAACCTAACCCTATACCTCACTGTAAATACAGGTTCGTTTTACGCTGATTCGATTTGTGCCGGCTTTTGTAGGAACGGAACTGCGGTAGGGCTACCTGTAAAGTATTTTATTCCTACCACTGCCCTTGAAACTACCACTGCACGTGAAACAATAAATTTGACAAATTTATTTGTCAAAATCTAATAAATTTGTCAAAATAAAATAAATTTGTCAAAATCTAAATAAGCAAAGCAAAACAGGTGGACAGATCAATTATCATTTTTGTTTCCTTTTGATATTAAAAGTTGTTTATTTATTAGTTTTAAGTAAAGTCTCCTCATTTACAACTTTCTGTGAAATTTCGAATTCATCATAATGTGGAAGAAAAAATTTCTTTATTTCTGAAGGAAAGTTCTAAAATTTTTATACAATAGTAACTTTACAGAAAATTTTCTCTTTGTAAATTTATAAGTTTTGATATTCTATTATGTTTTTTACATTTTCAATTACTGTATTTATAATTTTTATTGAAAAATATAAATTAATTGAATTTTTAATAAGCAATTTATTATGAAAGATATGAAATATAGTATTGTATAATAAAATCACAACTAATATTTTGTTTTTATATTGATAGTATTTTTTAAAGAAACAATAATGCTAAATGGGCATTCATGGTATCAATGTTTACATAAACATCAATTAATATGATATAACCACAAATCAAATTCAGTTTTGAAAAACTAAGCTTATTTTATATCAGAAACACTTGATGAAAAAATATAGGATANTAGTTTTCATTTTATAAAATTTTCATTTTAGCTTAGTGAAATAAAATTAACAATTTAAAAATTTGAAAAATATCCTTACCATAAAATATCTTTGCTATTTGTTGTATTCCGTAACAACACGCATAATAAATTACATATAACACGAGCAGTAACAGATGTTAGATTAGTTCTTTTTAAAATTTGTAACAGTCTGGATACCATCTCTAATTCTCTTAAAATTTTCAAATTGTATTTTTTCTCACTGTAGTAAAGAAATATTAATTATATAGATCTTATAAAAATATTTTTAGTAGTATAAATACATGCTATTCATTAATTCATATAAATAATAAATTACAATTTACCTTGATTCAGCTACTAATTCATAAAAATGCTCATATAAAGTTCTTTGTAAATCTCCAGGAACATCTTGCCATACCTACATTTATAACAATTTATTAATATATTAAATCAACTATTATATAATGAAATGAATGCAAATTCAAGAAAAATTATTATAGACAACTAAATAGTTAATATTTATTTTAAACTGTTTTGACATGACAAATGTCTAGTCCAATTGATTATTATATTATTTACTTATAAATTGCATTTATTATAGTTGGCAAGAGAATTAAGAGTTGTTTGTGCACAGAAACTGAGCCCTCACCTGATAACATCAACCCCATTTAACTGGCATTAAAATTTACTTGCATGGGGCCTGACATAAATCATGAAATTTATGAGTTTTTCAAAATTTTAAGCTATTAATAATTGATCTATTAATTATTTGTAATTATTTTTGGTTATGTTATATTCATCATTACTATTCTCTTAATATAAATAAATATCAGCATTCTATAAACTACAATATAAACTGTAGTAATAAAAATTTATCAGATATATATAACATATATGAAATGTTATAAAAAAAATCACTCTTCAGTAGTAAAACAGAGTACAGCCTCACTAATTTGGACTAATTAGGGAAAAGCATAGTCTGAATCAGTGAAGTTATAACTAAAATTTGTATCGTATAGTTTAAAAAGTACACTTTATTACAGCCAAATTTTATTGTGCACTATAAATAAACTTTTATAATGCAAAAGTAGCAATAGTATCATTCTTGTCATTGACAAAATTTACTAATTTGAGCTTAAAACAGAAGCTAATTTTTGTTTGCAGTAATTGATGATCCCGTATATAGTCCATAAAATAATGATTTCTTCTACAACTAAATAGTGTGTCTAATAGAAAAATGAAGCACAACTAAACTATTAAAATCTATTACACTAGCAAGTGATCTTTCAGAATGGGAATTGCAAAGTTTTTTGAAAATTAAGTCTCTCAAATTTTTAAGTATGTATGTTATGTATTCATTAATTTAAAAATCTTGCTCTCTTTTATATTAGAAAGAAAGAAACTGGTTAATCTAGTGGCTCAATTAAATTGATATTGGTTGAGAAAGCTTTTCCTATATTTTTAAAAATTATTACTTCAAAACTAATATTTTTTTGTAATTCTAACAAAACTTCAATATTAAAACATTATCTTTAAGCTTCTTTTTAAAGAAGCAAAATTTATTTTACCTCCAAATCACATAATATATCTTGAAATGCTGTTGGATTAGGAATAATGGTTGTTTCTCTTCCACTGTCTACTGTTCCCACCAAAGAAAATATAAGATGCAAAATATGACTGTTCAGTAAGTTTTGTTTCTTTTTCAAAAGCATTGCTAAACTCTGTTAAAAAAATATATATATATTTATACATATACACATATATAGAAATATATAATCAGTTTGTTATTTTTAAATATAAATGAAAAGAGTTATTTTTAAAAAATTACAATTAAAACTTTTATATTAAACATTTACTTTTAATTATTTATAATAAACAAGTTCAAAATAAAATATCCTTATAACTTAAAAAATTTTCAATTAAAAAAAATCATAAAAATAAATTACATATTATAAAATGTTATCTATAATACACAATCATAAAGTCAATGACATGTTAGCATTTTATGTATATATATTTAAATAAATACATACAATATTATTATTATAATTTATAATTATATATTGTAGTATACTTTACTAAAAATTTCTTAGTCAAGTTATTCTTTTATTTATAACAGCTTTTTAGCACACACTATTATAGTAGTGAAGTGCTTATGTTAGGACTTTTGTGTCTGTCAGATGTCTATGTGCATGTGAAATGACTTCACTTTCGTTACCTAAGTATTATGTTCCATTCAATCCATTTATTGTGCATGTCTATGCAAATGCACAACTATTACTTGATTCCAAAAATTTATAAAATTTATTTTAAACAAAATTAATATTTGATTTGCTTTTGTGGAGTATGCTATCAAATCAGACTGTACTTATTAAAAATTTTACTTTATTAGCTGTTACAATTTAGAAAAAATTAATAATTTATGTAAATTTCTATGTTAATAAAACGATGTACAAATAAAATTTTTTATTTTATATTTATTCTCTCTATTTAAGTTAATAATTTCATACTTATTATTTTGGTAAAAATATAAAGTATGAAAATACTTTTAGATGCACTTGCACAAATCATATTTAAAACATTTACTTTAAAAATAAAAGAAACATACTGCCTTATCTATTACTTAGCAATATTTTTGTTGAAAATATACAATAATCATTAATAAAATTATAAATGTAATTACATTCAGTAAAAAACTATTTTAACATCATTTATTTATTTGCAAAGAGTTTCAATTTTCCCTACTTATAACAGTACCATTCTCAATATATTTCAATTCAACTAAAATGACTGATTATATCAATCTACTATCCAAATAAGCTGAATACAGTAATACCTCGAACTTACGCGATAGGTGGGACCGAGCGATAACCGCGTAAGTCGAATTCGCGTAAGTCAGGGTATAATTTCGCAATTTGTGAAAAATCCAAGTCGGATGTATGTAAGCTAATAAATGTTCTCGTTAATCTTATCTCATCTTTTGATTCGTTCCCGGTTACAAGAAATCACCACATAGAGTCTCTCGAGTCTCCATAGATATAACAAACACAGAAATAAATAACACAAAATAAATTGTAGCTATGTGTCAATTCCGCGCAACACGTCCGAACATGTAAGCTGAACAATAGTGTGGGGGGAGTGAGGAACGTGTAAGCTGAACAATAGTGTGGGGGGAGTGAGGAACGTGTAAGCTGAACAATAGTGTGGGGGGAGTGAGTAATCAAGAGTTGTGTGGTGCTCAAACAAAAGATGAATTGATGACATTTGAAAATCGCGTAACTCCAGGTTTGCGTAAGTCGAGATATTACTGTAATTATTTGAAAGCTTAATAAATTTAAAGTTTGATGAAATACTAAATATAATTTTCTAAATAAAATGTTTAAAATTTATGATTATGACGTAATGATAAAGATTACATGAATATCTGACATTATTAAGTTCTAATTTTGTGAAAATTCTTTTTCTTACTTGATATCTTCGCATCCTGTCCATTTCTTGTTGAGCAGAGCGATTACTTCTTACAACACAAACCAATGCTTTTACAGCTGCATACAATCCTTCAACATCTTTTGCCATTGCTACAAGTCCAAGCAAAGTGGCTGTTCCTCCAATATTTTCAACAATTAATGCAACTGGATGTGGAACAAATGTTCTAGCACCTAAAATAATTAAAATTTTTATAGGGACAAAAGCTATGAAGATAATTTCCTTTTTCAACTGTACTGTACTGTCATTCTGTAACATTCCTTTTCATATATCACTTCACAGATTATTAATCTAAGCCATTTAGCAAAATGATTGGCATTTAAATTTATAACATATTGAAGTAAATATAATATGTGATATATAGTTAAACATCATTTTGACATACAAAAGTCTTTCAAAAAATCAAAAATAGTTTAAATTTTCAAAATTAAAGTGTTACATTTTTAATTACAATCAAATCCCAGAAAAGCACAGTTGTATTATGTTAATGTATTTTAAAATTTTAATGGATACATAGCATTATTCTCAATATGACAAAAAAATACATGTAAATGACAGTTTATTTTAAGATATAGAATGCAGAACATAAATATAACTATAAGTCAAAAATTATATAAAATTATTTCTTTATTGTCAGATAAAAAATTTATGATTACTGTTTTTTTATTCTTAATTGTTAAGTTATCTTTTGATTCTGAATGATTGTTAAAATTTTAATGAGAAAAACTACAATAAAAATTATTTAAGCAAACTGATGAATAATTGAAGATAAATATTTTATCTGCAACTTTCATCAGTTCCATATATTAATCAGTTTTATAGTAGCACCTAAGTTATTTACTGTAGTTATTTACTTACAAAAAAATGATTTTTATTAATAATCTTCTTTAAAATGTCAAAAGCACCTTTAAATTATGGCTATTACTGATTAAAACTTCATTTTTTCATGTTAATATCTTATTTAATGAATTAATAATTATTAAAACAAAGAAATAAATCTTTTAATAAATCATCTTTTGTATGTTATTTATTGTATTTTTCTTTGAAATTTATTTCATTTCACTTAAACTTATTTTATTTCAAATCCAGAAATAATATGAGATTTTCTCATATCTAAACTTCTGTTTTATATTAAATTGAATTATATATTATATTAAATTAAATGTAATTGAATTATAGTGAATTGTATTTAATAGTCATTTATGTATATAATTTTTAAATAACTTTTTTAATCATTACAAAATTTAAATCTATAACAGGTTCTCACTTGTCTAATATTTACCTAAAAAATAAAAATTAATTTATATAAAATATAGCATACCTAAATAACCAACAAGAACTCCACCCAAACTACGTGCTGGACCACTTAAATGTCCTGCTGAGTTGTGTAGAATTCTTATGGGAGTAGCATTTTCATGTGATGACATTCCTAACTAAAATAAAATTTAAATGACAATTCTGAAAATTAAGGATAATTTATTGGTAAAATTATTTTCTCTAATTATAAAAAATACAAATAATTGAAATATGAAATATTAAAATTATAAAATAATAATTAGACTATTACAAAACTAAGTGAAATGATTATTTGAATAGAAAATATTCTATACCTAACTGTAATTAACTACTGAGAACACAATAATACCGAGACATTACAAAGTTTAAATACAGAAATTCATAACAAAAAAGTCAGTTACGAAAGAATTTATAACAAAATCTATAAAATAATATAATAAATAGTTCTTAAAAGACAACATAGTTATGTTACATTATCAAGGAATTAGAAAAACTTTGCTATCAACATAATTTTGCTTTTATTATATATATCAGGTCAGTCCATAAGTTTGTGCGTATTTTTATCTACAAAAACAGCAACAAAAAATTTTAATTAAATCTTATTTCAATCTATAATGTATTCAGCTATGTGTCAATTCCGCGCAACACGTCCGAACACATAAGCTGAACAATAGTGTGGGGGAAATGAGTAATCAAGAGTTGCGTGGCGCTCAAACAAAAGACGAATCGACGAGATTTGAAAATCGCGTAAGTCAAGGTATTACCGTATATAATTATCTCAAATCATCAATTGGTGGAGACATACAAGGCTTATAAAACAGCATTGGAGCATAATTTTATTTGTGGGATGCATTTTAACCAAGACCGAAATCATCCCACGAATAAAATTAGTCTCTTATTGACGCGATCTGGAATTTCTAACGCTCCGATGCAGTTTTATAAGCCTTGTATATCTTCACCGATCGACAGTTCAAAACAATTACGTAACAAATTAAGTACACTTCCACTAAATATATTTTTTAATTTGCCAGTAATTAACAAAAAACAAAAAATGTAGCTCTTCTTAAATATTTTTATTTTAATATCATATTTTAGTAGTAT